CTCTAAATAGAAAGGGATCTTGGAACAACAGGAAGGAAGGAAGAACAATGGAGAAAGTAAATATTTGGGGAAAATACCATAAATTTCCTCCTTAATGGGTTTTCTAATTTTTTTTTGATGGTTGACGCAAAAATTATGATACTGTTTGTTGTGATTCTTAATAGATAGATGAAATATTTAAGACTACTATGTTCTAAATGGAGAGGGTAAAAGGATGTAAACGGTGTGTGGGGGGTGGGTGTGAATATAGAGAAGTAACATGAGAGAGATATTTGTGGTGATGTAAGACTTCTGTATCTTGATTGTGATAGTGGTTTCACAAATCTGCACATGATAAACTATCATAGAATTATATACATACATTATACCAATGTCAATTTTATATTGTTATACTTAGGTAAGATATAATCATTGGTGCAAACTGGATCAGGAATATACAAGACATCTCCATTCTATCTTTGCAACTTTCTGTGAATCTATAATTATTTCAAAATTAAAAGTTTTCTTTAAAAGTAAAGGAAAGGGAATATAAAATATCTATAGAAATGTAAAATGACCTGAGATTTCATATAGTTAAAAATGTATAAAATTAAAAAAAAAATAACAGAGTCTCAATGACCCAGGAACAATATAAAAAAGTCACACACATTATAAGTGGAATTTTAAAATGAGAAGAGAGAATGGGGCAGAAAAATATCTGAAGACATCATAGTTAAAAATTTGTCAAATTTATAAAAGACATCAATTTATAGATTCAAGAAACTCAACGAGCTCGAAGTAAGATTTAAAAAAAAATCTCACCCAGTTATATCATAATTAAACTGCTAAAAGCCAAAAATAAAGGGAAAATCTTGAAAGCAGCCAAGAACAAAAGACACATTATATACAAGGGAACAATAATACAAAGGACTACTGTTTTAGCATCATAAATTATTGAGGCCAGAACACAGTAGAAGGACATCTCTGGCATGCTACACCAAAAAGTCTGCCAACCCAGAATTCTATATCCAGTGACTATATTCTTCAAAAATGAAAATTATATAGATATTTTTAGAAAAATAAAAAGAAGACTTCATCATTAATTAGCAGACCTGCACTAAAGAAATACCAAGGGAAGTTCTTCAACAGGAGGGTAAATGATGCCAGTTGGAAACACAGACTTCAGAAAGGGTGATGAACACTGGAAACAGTAAATATGTGGGTAAATTATAAAAGGCTATGTTTTTTACATCTTCTTTTCTCTTTCTCGTTCGTTCTTTCTTTTTCTTCCTTTCTTTTTTTGCTGAGAAGCCTTTTTAAATTTGAAATATAGCCTGAGCAATATGAGTACAGTACTTCTTTATTTCTTTAAATCACATATAACTATATAAAGCAAAACTTTTAACTTTATGTTATGGGTTTATAACATATGTAGTTGTAATACATATGACAAGAGGACAAAATTTGTTCAATATTTATAAACCAATGTATTTCACCACATTAACAGAATTAAGGAAAAAAACAATATGATTATTTCAGTAAATGCAGAAAAATCATTTGACACAATGTAACCATTTAATTCATGGCTAAAAAAACCTCAGCAAATTAAAATTTCTCAACCTGCTGAAGGTCATATATGACATTTAATGGTAAAATATTGAATGCTTTCCCTCTATGATAGTGAACAAACTAAGAATGTCTACCCATTCCAATTCACTGACGTTTGCAAAGTTTTGAAATGTATAAAAATTTAAGATGGAGTATGTCGCGAATAAAGGGATGAATAGATAGAAATGTGATAAAGCAAACATAGCAAATTGCTAATTATAGACTCGAGGTGGTTGGTATGTACATGTTCACTTTGTAATTCTTTCAACTTTTCTGTATGCTTGAAAATATTCATAATAAGGTGTTGGGGAAAAGATCTGTAAAGTCCTCCCTTAAAAAAAAACAAACCTGTTTAACTTTGTTTGATCCTGTGTTTCCCAAACTTCTTTTTTCAGCAAAACAACAACAAAAAAATCCTTAAGGAAAATGTAATAAACCCTGCAGAATACATTCTGGAAAGTACTTCCTATCTATCTATCTATCTATCTATCTATCTATCTATCTATCTATCTATATATGATTTTGTTTATGTATTTGAGAGAGAGACAGCACAAGCTGGGGGAGAGGCAGAAGGAGAGAGAGAGAGGGACAAGCAGACTCTCTGCTGAGCAGGGAGCCGGAGGTGGGGCTTGATCCCAGGATCCAGAAATGATGACCTGAGCTGAAGTCAGACGCTTAACTGGCTGAGCCACCCAGTTGCCCTAAAAATACTTCCTATTTAGATTTAGTCTATCCCCAGTTAGGTTTTTAAAATAAGAGTACTGTATTACATCCATTGCTGCATAACAAACCTCCCCCAAACACAGTGGCTTACGATAAGGGTAATTTATTATTTTTCTCATGATTCTGTAAGTTGACTGGAGCTCAGCTGGGTAGTTCTGCTGATCTCGTTTGGAACCTCTCATGCATCTGAGCTCATCTGGGCCTGGAACATCCAAGATGGTTTCTTATTCTCCAGGGTCTCTCTTTGAGTGGTCTTCAGGTGACCTAGTCCAGACTTCCTCAATAGCATACTGGCTGCACTCCAAGAGGAGGAAATAGAATGTGAGTTCTCTTAAGGTGTGGGCTCAGATTCTCAGAATGTCACATCTGCATTCCATCTGCTAAAGGAAGCCAAAAGGCCAGCCCAGATTCAGGGAAGAGAAAATAGATTTCATCTCCTGCTATAAAGAGCATCATGTGCATACAGGAGAGGAAATGATGGCAGTCATCTCTGGAGATGATCTCTCGTGGTGGCATACCAGAATTTCCACTTTGCTTTGTTAAAGATATTTAAACTTTATAAATGAGTAGGTGGTGGTTTATCTTACCATATCAGTCTTTGCTTTCTGGGTTACAGAGTTTTGTAGGTAACAACTTTTGAGTGCACTGAAGTGTTGGTTCAAGGTTATAGTGAAAAGCATTCGAAATTTAAGAGCCAGAAGATCTGTGTGTATATTCTGACTACTGCTCACTAGCTGGGTGACTTGGGCAAACATTTAACCTTTCTGAACCTAAGTGTCCTTATTTGTAAAGCAGGATTCATGGTATTTAACTCACTGAATTTTATTTAGGGCCAAAAAAGAGACTGAAATCTCCCATAATTCCCAGAGGAGCAGTTCCAGTGGAACTGAATCCATTGCAGTCCTGAGGAACCCTCAGCAGGATTTCCTGGATCTTCAATCTGGTATTTGCCATTAATTTGAGCTGGCCATCCTCTCCAAGACTACTCCACCGCCTACTTGTGTTTCCTATTATTACCTGCCAATTCTTCCTCTCTACCACATAGGTATTTTCTCTTTACTACATAGTTCTTGATTTCTTATCATTTCAGCCTGTCATGAACGATCATGGCCCTACCTCATGGTCCAGACCAGGAATTGGCAAGCTTTGGTCTATGGGACAAATGTGGCCTGCCACTGTTTTTATAAATAAAGCTTTATTGGAACATAGTCATCCTCATTCATTTACTATTGTCTGTGGCCCCTTTTGGCTACAATGGCAGAGCTGAGTAGTTGCCACAGAAACCATATGGTCCACAAAACCTATTTGGCTCTTTACAGACAATTTCCTGATCCCTGGGGTCTAGCTTTCCTCAGGGCTCCTGTCTATAGGTATTCATTTAACTTCTGTTCTCCCTGACTTGGTCTTGAAGTACTTCCCAATTCAAATCCTCTGAAATGCTCATTCCTCCTTCTGAAATGAAATGAAAGACGGACATTTTCATTTCATACCAGGCCACTTCACAGTGCCTTGGCCAGCTATAGAGAGGCCGCATATGAGTGGTGTGTTATCTCCCACTCTCATCCAATTAGCTGTGGCTGAGGAAACGCAGGTGATATGTAGTCAGTAAGACAGAGCTGTGTTGGGAAGGCTGGGCATGGTGGACAATGTAATTGTCCAGTACAACTGCAAATTAAATTAAATGAGCTTAATATATGTAAAATTACATAAAAAAATTACATGTTAATGTGTTTGAGCCATATATTTATAAAGTCTCATAAGTACTTGCCAATTAAGGTCAATTTGAAATAAAATACAGTACCCCTGAAATTAATGATATAAATCAATGACAAACTATGATGTAACATAAAAATTCAATTCACACACAATGTTATAGCCCTATTGCTTAATAGTATATGTAATATTATGGTGTTATTATAGCTACACAATATAAAATACCATTAACATTTCTCAGGAGACAAAAAGTAGGTGAAAAAAAGGCTACATGAGTGGTTAAATTAAGATTGGAGGAGTATTGGCACTACTTAGACGTGACTAATCCTTTTTTCTTATTTGGAAAAAAAAAAATCCAACAGTTCATCCATAATGAGTTCTGTACTTTCTCAAGGATGAGTAACTGTAAACACAGAGTTCTGTAATAATCGGCTCTTTTAAGAGGCCCTCCTTCCATGCTTTTCCAACTTAAACTGTATCTGCTTTGGTTGCCTAAACCTATGGCTCTAGTTCTGCTCCTGTGCAGAGGAGGATACCCTGGCAGTTTTGAAACAATCTTCTCATCCTCCCAGCAATGGAAAAAGTATGGTACTCAGAGTACACTTTATTAAAAAAAATCTGACAGCATTTTCAATAAAGAAACTTAAGGGCACCTGGGTGGCTCAGTTGTTAAGTGTCTGCCTTTGGCTCAGGTCATCATCCCAGGGTCCTGGGATCGAGTCCCGTATCGGGCTCCCTGCTCCGCGGGAAGCCTGCTTCTCCCTCTCCCACTCCCCCTACTTATGTTCCCTCTCTCGCTGTGTCTCTCTCTGTCAAATAAATAAATAAAATCTTAAAAAAAAAAAAGAGAGAGAGAGAGAAACCTAAAAAAATTTTTTTTCTTTCCCCAAATGAACAAACAAAAAACCATGGGACAGAAACTTGCAGAAGAAAACTACACCTTCCAGCCTGGACAAATAGTTAACACACACAAATAGCTTCCAAAATAACTTTTATTACTATATAAAAACAAGTCAAGAAAAAAAATAGATGCGTATTTTTTTCTACAAAATTATAAAATATTTGGGCTACTTCATGTTTTTCCACAAGAAGGCAAATTTAAACACAGTAATCTTTTCCACTTAGAAGTTTTCAGGTATCTCCTAAGGGACAAAGAATAATAGTTTTCTTTTTTCTATACTTTCCTATGTGCAGCTCTGAGACATAGCAGTTACAGTTTTCTGTCAGGATTCTCTAAGAAAGGACCTAACAAGATAAAAAATTCTATCACATGGCAATGAAATTAGCATAACACTTTACTCCTTTCTTGAGCTTTTAGATCTGGCAGTGGTGGTCAACTGGTATGGTACTGCAATTTTCGACTCAGCAGGGAAAAGAGCCTAATTAAAAACAAGACATTCTCTTTATTTTGTCCTTTAGAAAACAGAAACCACTTGTCAGTATTCCTGAAAAAGTCCAATTGCCTTCTTTGTCATTTGATTGTAAGGTCTGAGATGCTGTTTCTAACCAGCGCGGCTTAAATGAAACCACACAAGGCGAGGGAAGGAAAGTGTTCTGGAGGGTGAATTCAGTCTGACACAGAAGCACAGGAAGCTATACGCCTTGGAGAACATTAATTCAAAAAGCATATTCATTTGAGTTTCTCAATAAATCCTTCCAGAGAAAAGGCTTTAGTGTTGATTTAGATGAGTGTTAAAATAAAGCTCCCCCCGCCACCACCCCTGAAATTAGATTATGGGGTAAGCCAAGCCAGACTACCTCTGCTGATGATATAAGCTATAATTATTTGGGAAGGTTTCAATCACTGTTTTGGAAATGATACGTAAGGCTTTCTTCTCCCTTTTTTTTTCCTGTGGACTTTTTAATGAGATATTTTGGGGAGAGATGGCTTTAGGTAGGAAATACCAGCTTTTGAAAGATAAAGGTACAATTACCATTAGAATAAAAAGCCCATTAAAAGAAGAGTCTCAGAAAGGTTTTCTAGATATATTTTACTATGCATTGTTTTCATAAAGGTTGAGGAAGAAAGAAGTTCTTATAATATCCGTAAGATTGCTCTCACATTAGCCCACAAGAGAGAGAAAGTAAAGGGCTGAGATGATGGGTGCTCAAATACTTTGCAATGGAATAGAATATTCTCATGCCAAATTCGTAATTAACTTTTCACTAGTAGCCTCTTCCTTGGCCTTTGTAAAATGGAATGACATCTTCAATCATTGGTGCTGTCGCTGACCCCTTTCCTCCCAAAAAACTCCTGGAATTTGGGGCACCTTTATATACAGAAACATCCATTTATCGAAAATATGTTTGTGTGTGACAGTGCAATTATTCCTTCCACTTGACACCAAAATTGTAGCATGCTCTACCCATATTGAATTTAATTGTGCCTACTATGTGCCAGGCATTGGGCTGGGCACTGGGCATACTTATGACACCATTACCAATTTCGGAAATAGAATTAAATAGGAAGAAAAGAGTATTTTGGCAAGGGAATCTTCAATGGTTAGCCATGAAGCTTAACTGGTATGATGCAGTGAAGCTCATATTCAGTCTATGGAGGTAATTATCACTCAACTTAAAAGGAACTCCACTAAGCACCAAAAAGGTTAAGTGTGTTTGTTGCAAACTCTAAGGTTTTTACCCACATTAAAATCGCAGGGAAACCAAAAACAAAAACAAAAACAAAAACAAAAACAAATGAAAAGCATCATTTCAGCATAGGCACTATTCTAGGTTTTGGTGGGTTTTTTTTAGATTTATTTATTTATTTTAGAGGGAGAGAGAACACATGTGCATGCACATGAGTGGGAGGAGGGACAGAAGGAGAGAATCTTCAAGGACACTCCCTGTCGAGCACAGAACCCAAGGCAGGGCTCCATCCCACCACCCATGAGATCATGACCTGAGCCAAAACCAAGTCAGATGCTCAACTGACTGAGCCACCCAGGAGCCCCACTACTCTAGGTTTTAATTTAAGTCAGCCCCGAGTCTAGACAGAAGTGTCCATGCACGAAAGAGGTCACCTCTGAGTCTCAATTCATACTGAGAACCCAAAGCTCCAGATGTCCCCTAAAACTCCACCAACATCAGGAAGGATCTTGGCTATTGCCACTGGGAAGGGCAGACCACAAGTGAATCTCTCCTATCTCCAAACCCAAAGCTATTCAGCAGCTAAGATGCTGAAGAACAAAAATTGTAATTGATTAATCTTGAAAGTTACAGATGTTTTTGCCCAAACCTTTTTTTGTCACCAAGACACAATTTTAAGATCAAAGGGGCATCAAGGTGGGCCATGGCTTGTTGGCAGTGGTGGGGTGCCATGATCTATTTCCAGGTATGGGTGGGCCTCTTTCCTTGGTTATTTGAGGAATCTGCTTTGGAAGAGAGAGCCAGAAGGTAAACTTTAACAACTCCACTGCACTCCAGCAATTGGGATTTATCCAGGGGTGAGTCAGAGTAGGTACAAACTAGTATATAATAGAAAATGTAGCAGAGTAAAATGGTTAGGGTCATGGACTGAGGAGTCAGACAGCCATGTGACAAATCTCAGTTCTATCACTGATGAGCTGTATGACCTTGGGGGAAGTTACTAACATTTCTAAGCTTCAAATCTCCCAGCTGTCAAATGGAGATAATAATAGTACCTACAGTGTAAAGTTTGAGGATTTAACGAGTTAATATTTATAAAGTGCTTAGAACAGTGTCCGGCATGTAATAAGTGCCATGTAAGTACTTTCTAAAATAAAAACAGAAACTTGGGAAAAAGTACTCTTTGAGGTGTGGAGAGCAGTTTATGCTACTACGTAAGCTTTCAGGCATGGTCCATTCTAATTAGGTTTTGGAATCTGGCTTAGAAAGTACACCAAGCCCCAAGGAAGCTTTGGGACGAAGTTGAGATTTGGAAAAACTTCCAGGTCTGAGAAGAGAAGATCTCGTTAGCTACTTTTGGCTCAGTCACTGCTCCAAAATGCTCTAATTATAAACTCCAGTCTCCAGGGCCAATCTGAGCTCAAACTAGTTGGGGAGAGAGCAGAGGGCAGGCACTTGGAAAGGGAACCAGTCACTTTCCTAAATTTTTCCTGTACTCTACTTGTTATCTGTGTAGCATCAACCCTGCCCCAGATCTGACTCTAAAACATTAGGACTGGATTCCCAGAATTAACAGGAAATAACTACACGACAAGAGGCCAGAGATGCTGCCAATTGATGAAATTTACCAACTGAGAGACACATTTTTTTTTTTTTTAGTGTTTTTTTGTTTTGTTTTGGTTTGGTTTGAGAGACACATTTTGATTATCCGTTCTATGCAAGGCACTGTGCTAAATGTTTTGGTCCTCAACAAGAAAGAGGTTAACATAACCACCATTTATATCTTCTATTATTTACACAGATCATCTCCTTTCCAATTCAGGTAAGATCATAGACCTCACTACATCAAAAACTAATGATGTAATATATGGTGATTAACATAACAATAAAAAAATTTTTAAAAAAAGATCATAGGCCTCAATCAATACAAACTCTTCCAAGGAATCCTACTTTATGATTAAAAGAAATATTGACTCTGCGGAGCTTAGTCATCCTGGGGCTAAATAGGAGAAGCTAAACTGTAGAGCTGGTTTTTAAAAGTGAAGCTATATGGCCACATCTCTACAACATTCTACATGGTGGATCTCTGTCCAGCCTCATCAACGGTCAAGTTTCTTTTCTTCGCTGTTGTTTCACTATTTAATTTTGAATCTGACGTGTCCACATTGCTGAAGTTGACTGCTAAGCCTTCTGCTCCCTCTCGAGCGCCTCCATTTGGCTGAAGCAGGACAGAATTTGGTTCTTTAGGACGTTGCCACTGTGGTCTGGTGACTATCCAAAAAATGAGTGCCCCATACACCACAATCAGGAGGCCAAGGGTATTTGTGAAAACACCTTCTGGTGGGAATGTACTGTATCCAGAACCCTTCCTACAAAAAAGAGAGAGTGTGTCCAATTACAAATAGGGCGATAAAGCCACATGTCAAACAGTCTTGAATTTATCTGCTTAAAAATGCACACTGGTACACCTTCTATATAAATTCCCTTAAAGTTTGACATTAAGGAGAAATTTAAATTATGCCAAAATAACCCAATTGAAATAATATGGAATTGTTAAAAATGATAAGTATGAAAATAATATAGCACCTGGAACACCTGTAGCACTTAAACATTGGAAAAGGGGTGATACAAAAATGTTTGTACACCATAATCACATCAAAAAGATTAAAAGGGCATGGGTAACTCCAATAGTTGTTTTGTAAGAGTGATACAATTTTTTGGACTTTTTGGTCCTTCTTCCAAACATTATTAATGCTATATTACATTTGTAATGTAATACACTTTTAATATTAAAAATTTTATTACTTTAAATTACATTTTTCCAATGAACAAGTATTTAACATTTTATAGCTCAGATATTATAATTAGGAAAACTACGCAACTTACAGGGCAAAGAACAGTTTCTCAGTCACTCCCGTAAGTACCGCTGCAATCACCGTTCCAAAGATGAGGAGCCCAGAATAGACATGCACGGGCATGACAAGTGCTCGGAGGGAAAGTGGAGCCCAAGGAAGCAGAAAGATGAAAACCCCTAGGAGTAGCTGAACATCAACAGTACAAAGGTTATCATTTAATTTTAAGTTTTAACTAATATTAAAATTATTATTATAAAAGCAATTATGTGCAAAAGGGAAAACCTTCCTACAGAACAAAGGGCATAAGATGAAAAGTACATTTCCCCACTCCAGTTCCACTACTCAAAGGCAACACCTATTACCACTTTCTCAAGTATCCTTCCAGAAAATCTCTATGCCTATACAAGTGTGTGTGTGTGTGTGTGTGTGTGTGAGAAGAGAGACTTTTTAAAGTATAAATGGCATCTTACTATATACTTCTTCTGCATCTTGCTTTTTTCCCTTAATAGTATATCTTGAAGATCTTTTCATGTCAAAACATGTGCATCTGGTTTATTCTTTTCAATGGCTACTCTTCTAGTAATTTACTCAGTTCTATCTGTATGGATGTTCCTCTTTCTAGTTTTTTCCAATCATTAACAAAGCTACAGTGAACATTCTGGTACCTTCTTGTTTGTATTTATCTATTTCCTGAAGATTGCCAAGTAGAAGAGGAAATAAAAGATTTTCAAGTCACTAAAACCAGATACAATAGGACACCTTTAGTCAGTTCAATCTAAAACAGTACATGCCGAGAAGTTGACAATTTTGTTTTATGAGGAAACAATGAATTCTGCAGAGAGGTTATCTCCATTTCCTTGACAATTAAATCCATAGCAGGATGCTTCTCTGCAGAGGAGAGCAAGATTCCTATGGAAATGAAGTCTGGTGACACTTTCAGTGTGTTTTGTTTTGTTGCCCCACAGCCCCTCCCCATTAAGTATTGTCTTCTCCTCAAGAAAATGAAGACCACTGAGCTACTGAATTTAAAGGGGTGTTTTTTCAGGTACCTACTTTGGATCTACCACCCAAACAAAACAAGTAGAGGGGAGAACAGGGAGAAATACAACATCACTGTTCATCTTTTGTGACTGAGGTCAAAGGACCTTTTCTGGGGGACACCAGAAAAATGAAGGCAGAAGGGGTCTGAGACCCTAAAACACATTGAGAATCAGCTTCTGGGACATGGTAATGAATGGAAGTTAAGAAATGCATTTGATAGGCTGATGCACATATTTTATTGTCTGCTTAAGGCCACAAATGCCTGAATGTATGAGAAATGGTACAGAGGGTCCCCCTTGGTGGTTCAGAATGTTGCTAATTCTCCTTCAGTGATGTTTAGTGATTGTATTAGTATCAAAGGGCAAGCATTCTGACGTACAGGTTGTGCTTTCTCCCTGAAAAGGGGGCTCAGGTAAGTGGCCATCAAGGATTTAGCACATCTACGCTTCTGTGAGTAAAGTCACCACAACTTTTCTGTGACTTGCCCATGGAAATATGTATCTTCCATATTTCTGTTCTCCTGACTCTTCATTCCTAAGATTCTGTTTTCTTTTATTTCTTTCAGGATTTATCATGTGTGCCTCTTGTAATCCCGTGGGGCTCAATGATCGAAGCAGGCAGGGTACCAGAAATTGGCTTACAGGACCCCAGGCGATTTAACTCTCCTTAAATGTTACTTTCACCATTAAAAAAATAATTTTTTGGCAAAAGAAAATTACTTTTAAGAGGAAAGGAAAAAAATTGCAGAATGCTTAACTTTGATTAAAAGTGTTCCAAATGGTACAAATTTATAATAATTTTAAAAAAATTATAATTTTTAATAATATTCTTTATTTCCTTTTTACTGTCTTAGCCTTACCAACTTACAAGTAGTACGGTAACTTGAAACCAAGTGGACTGAAACAAAATCCCTTTGTCCTTTTAAGTCACTGGTTCTTGAAGTGTTGTTCATAGAAGACCTGCATCAGAAACACTTGGGCCTTTCTTTAAAGAGATCCCTGGGACACACCCACAGCTGCTAAATCAGAACTTCTAGGAGTCGGGCTCAGGAATCTGCATTTTAATAGAATGCCCAGGCAATTCTTAATACATGTTAAAGTCTGAAGATCACTCACCGCTTTTGACTCACATAAATTGTTTCAGAGATATGGGTTAACTACAGTCTGGAAAATCCCTAAAAGTGAAGGCAGTGGAATCATCCATTATCTTCAGCCTCAAACACATATTAAGTGCCAACTATGGAAAACAAAGTGCTCCAGTGTTTAGAAACCATCACCTACAGAAAGCTGTTCTTCACCACAATCGAGTTCTTAAGAGAGTTTAAGAAGAATAGAATCTCATTAAAAATTATTATTAAGATATCAAAGTGAAAGGGTAGTATGATCCTAATTATAATTAAAATTTTTTTAAATGTATATTCATAGGCATAATAAAAGCCTAAAGGAAATAAGCCAAAATACAATGATACCTCTAGATTATGGCATTATCAGTGATTTTTGTTTTTTCTTTTTTTCCCTGTATTTTATAAATTTTAAAGTTAATGTATATTACTTTTATAATTGGAAATAGACAATAAAAGTTTACTTTTAAAGTTCCTATACTAAATACCTGGCCTTTATCAGTTAATTATTAATTATTATCTGCTCACCTACAAATGTATTTTACTACTCCAGTTTTATCTCACTTTATGAAACAAATGAGTTTTTTTTTAAAAAGATACGTGTGAACTTTGAGACCTAACAATAACTTTTGTTTGCAAACATCATTAATGAAACCAGGAAATATCTGCCTAGCTAGCTTTTGTATTAGGTATGATTTCCTTTTTCTTTTTTTAACTGTAGAGGTGGATTTAATGAGCAATCAAGTGATTTACAGATTATTATATGGAGGTCCTCTCCATTTTTCTGCTATTTTATATACTCACTCATTCCTGCATTTAAAGCACATATTGCTGGGTCCCATCCCTAGAGTTTCTGATTCAGCAGATCTGGAGTGGAACTTAAGAATCTATATTTCTAATTTCCCCAGTGATGCAAATGATGTTGTTCTAGGGACCACACTTTGAGAAGCCCTGTCTTGGGCCATTTCCAAGTTGCATTCTTCAAACATAAAAGCATGTTTCTTCCAGGGATTAAAACATCTAATTAGCACGAACTAGAATATGTCCAAAGGTTTTTTATAAAGAGACGACACACAAATTGAACACTATGTTCCCCTGTCAATATCCCACATCTCCTTGCTGCACCGTCTTGCATCACAACTACCTGGTGGTACCCCAGCACTGGCTCAGCCATCTTCAGGACTACCTCTGGTCTGCTAGGTACTACTAGAGGAAATCACACAGCCAAGGACACTGGCATCACTATAAATTCATGACTGTGATGCCCACAGTTATGAGCACTTCAACACTGCTCAACAATCTTTCTATTGTCTGATTTCTCAGCTGGTCCCTTTTCCTCAAACTACTTGCTGTCCCGTGTGCCTTCTATTAGCAGATGATTTTATTACCACCTCATGTGGAAAACAGAGTCTCACTTTTCTGCCACTGAACCAAACAAACCAAAAAAGCACCCCAAGCCAACAATTCCCTCCTTTCTTCAATTACAACAGAGTTGCTGTTCAATTTTCCAGCTGGGCTCTGCAACCTGCTTCCTGAAGACATAGCTGTAGATTCACTCCAGCATTTACGACCTCTCCTTCTCTACCAGTGCCATCTTGGGTGCATTTTAACATGCTGGAGCTTCTCACAATGAAAAGAAGTTAAAACAAAAACAAAAAAAAAACTCAACCAAAACCCCTGACTCCCATCCCTGTCCGGTTACCATCCTCTCGCGCTCCTTGCCTTCTTGCCCAAAACTCTTGACTGAGTTGCCTATTTTTCACCTTCTACTCCTTCTTCAGTCCATTGAAATCTGGATTCTGCCCTCCAGGAAAATTGCTCTCCAGGGTCATCAGTGACTTCCAGGTCACTCAATCCAAAGGACAGTTTTCAGACCTTATTTTCCTTGACTTCTTACAGCATGTGACACTCCCTCAGCCCTTTGTTCCCTCTCTAACGTTCCTTTTCTCATCCCCTGACTTGCTCAAGCCTGCAAGTAACTTTCATCTCTTTACCACTGACTTTCCAAATCTCATTAATTCTACCTTTGAACTATCTTTAGAAACTATCCACTTTGCTCACTGCTACTCCTACACCCCATGCCACAATTGTTTCTCATTTGAACATCTGTACTTCAAGCTAGTCTATCTACCTGTACTCCTGTCCAGCCTCCAATTCATCTTCCATAACTCCACTCCCAGTAGACTGACCTCCTTGTTTCCCAAACAAAGCAAACTTTTACCCACATACCATCCCATTCCCCTCTTATACGCCCCTTTCACCACCAACCTCATGACTTCAGGTTTTGGTCTGACTTCCTTTATCCCCTGTACCATACGAGAGCTCTCCCAGAACACTCCATACCCACCTTATCTACCAAATACAGAGAGACCAGTCTCCCTTGTAAGTTATATGAGGACAGAAAGCATGTTTCTTTGGATCCATGCTTGTCTTGTGAACAACACATCCTCTACAGCCTAGCAAGGAATCTAATGCACAATAGGTATTTAGCTTTGTTGAATAAGTGGACTAATGAACAAAATTTCATTCACATAAAATGTATCTTCTCAACTATGAAGGTGCCTAGGATCCATAGCAGAAATAAAATAAAAAATGCCATCTTTAGGTTGTAAAGGAGCCTTCCACAAGATTTATACTTCTAATAACAATAGCTGACTTGTGCCATTCTAGTATGCTAAGCCCTAGGCTGAGCATTTCTGTGCATTATTTGGCTTTGGTTACGATGTTGTGAAGGATGTATCAAAAGCCTTAATTTATAGGTGAGAAAACTAGGTTCAAAAAGATTCAATAATTTGTCTTAAGGTCACCAGCGACAAATGGATGAACCTGATTCAAACTGAGATCTCCCTGATTACAAATCCCGTGTTCTTAAACACTACTTCCTCTCTGGACCTGAGCAAGAAAAGAGGGTTCAGATTTCCTCCTGCTAACCAAAGTCATAAAGTTGTGAAATGACCTTTCTGAGAAGTCTAGTTAGCACACAAATAAAACAACAAAAGATAAGAATTTGAGTATTTCAGAGAGC